ACAATATATGGCTCTGCCTTTAAATAAACTCAATTATAATTAAAATTTTCTTAAGGATAAAAAATCTATCTTGGCTAATGCTATAAAATAGGGAGCCCTATTAGAGCACATTATTAAAATATTAAAGGCTGCATTTATCAACAGAGCCCAATCTATTACATTTCTATTTATTTTTAGATACAATAACCAACACTAAAAAAATAAAATAAAAAAATTTATGCAAACATAAACCGCACATTTGCACATTGCAATTTTCTAGCAACAAGCTGTGGACACTGAATGACTTGCCCGCGGTAAAGTTAATGCTGTTTTAATGCTGAGATTACATGACATGAGCGTGCTTATTTCGCGTTATAACCGGTCGTAGAAAAGAGATTATATTTGTCTCACTCCAGTGAGACAAATATACTCCACTCCACTGGACCAGTTTTGGGCCGGCAAACACAAACTAATCTGGGTCACACTTTAGCTGTTGATATGATCCAGATTCGCACCAAAGGAAGTTTGCTGACTGGGTCGCTCTCCGCGCTTCCGGCATTTATGGATTAAATTTTCTGATAAAATATACATAATTTTAAAGATGAGACTTTGTTTCTTATCGAAAAGAACAAAACACAAACCATACGATTACAGAATGTAATGTATAGTAATAATATATAGTGAATATTTATTCACGGCTATGAACTGAAACGGATTAAGTTCTGCACGTGCAGTGGTTAAAATTTGTTCGGTACAATTTTCGGTACGAATAAGTGTACCATTACACCCCTAGAAAACATTTAAAACACCAAAACTGCACTTACCTACATAAGAATGTGTCTGGGCAAAAAGGCTGTTGTTGTAAATAGGGAGCTTTTTCATCATCATCTTCTTTTTTAACGGCGATTAAAAGAGGAAGCAGAGCGGGAAATAACGGATATATTTTTAAAATTTCAATAATCCACCAATAGGAATAAGGGAAGGCACAAAGCAACCAATAGCATTGTTGAATGGGCTGAGATGTGGACCGCCACTATCTGCCAGCAGGTTATATGTGTTTTTCCAAATAAAAGCCAAATGTTCACATATTCCATGGTGTGCCATAGCCAAGCCACATATGACTCTCAGTTGTGTGCTATCATCTGGAACATATACCTCAAAAAAATTGTCATCCAAAAGAACATTCCCTCCAATTCTAAATCCATGGCAAAACATATACAGTTAAAGTTTGACCCATATGTGCTCAGCCATGCCATACCTAGGCCAAATGTGACAGCTATCAGCCACATTTGGCCCAAACATTCTTGCTATCTGGGTAATGATTGCGAATAATTTTTCCGAAGAATGTGTATTTTTTTATATTTTTCACAAAACAGACAAATATTAGCAGATCAACTATAGATAGAGAGACCTGGAAGATAAAAAAAAGAGGAAAATATTGGAGAAACAAAACATTAAAAAGAAAGGTTATGATCAGGCAAGAGGTAGGACCCACGTAAATATCAGAGCAGCTTACTCCGATACTTGATGACTCAGGGTATCAATAACAGTAACTACTGTATATGTAAACAACTGACTATTTTGTTTATAATTCATTATAACATTTATAAAAAATATAATTATTACTACTTAATTTAGAATTTAATAAAAAAAATACACACAAAGACAATTACAATTCTTATTGTTAATCATCATAAATGAGTCTACTAAAAGTTTTTGGGGGTCTATCACAACCATAAACAATCGTGATATAATTTAAAAACACTATAATATATATATATTTTTTTTACCATTGCATTATGGAGATTTACCATGTTATTACCGTATTCTTGAAGTGACATGTAAATAGTAAGGTGATCAGTATAGCCAAGCCGTTAAAATTAGACCACAGATTGCCTCGATTTCACCAGGTGGATTAAAAGCAGACTACACGTAGCCCGTCCAATTTAGAGCGAAATCGTGGCTACATATAAACCATGTCATGAAATGACACATATCTTTGTAGATATTATTGACACTGCGAACATGATGGGATATCAACCATCTCATGCGCTGTCTGGCCAAAAACTACAGTGAATCAGGTTTGACTGTAAGTGGGCTACAGATAGCCGCTCTGAATACAGAGCTAAATCGTGGTTACACACTACATATTGAAAATGTCAAAGAAATGAAACCAAACACCTTGTAAACACTGTTACTTTGCTTACATGATGGAATATCATACATCTAACAAGTTATTTTGCCAAAAAACGACATGAAACCAAATTCAAGGTTATTTGGGCTAGAAGTGGGTTACATATA